AAAAAAAAAAAAAAAAAAAAAAAAGTAACATTGTTATTCATCAGGTTATTACTTTTGGGAAGGAAACCATGTAACTTAATATTTCTCTGGATCATTCATCTTCATTCTCCTAACTTGATATCAATGGCTGCCAGGTGGTGCCTGTACAGGCTATTCAAATCAGATTATGTTATCATAGTTCTCCAGTCATCGCCAAGAGCAGGATCATGATCATGAGGAGGAAATCTAGTTATTCAGGTACATGTTACCTTATTAAAAGTTTGAGCAAAGTACATTGAGCCATTATAATGGGATTAGGGTTTGAGTTGTGTTCTCAGGGTTGCCATGACTATGTGATTTTGGTACTGTGCTGTGGGGTTTGGAGGGCGTAGCTCCACTCTGACCAACTGCAAATAATCCAGACCATTGTCACAGAGGAGTGGACACCAGCATGGACTCTGGCCAAGAGTGTGAAGCTTGTAGAGATTAGATTTGTCTAGATACAAATGCCTGAGGCAGACACTGAAGGAGAGGTGTGGAAGGATACCAATGCCTATTCACAGTAAGCAAAGCAGCAATCAGGCAGAGCAAGAAGAAACAGCTTTGATAAACCTTCTAGAGTGTCTCTCAACACCTAGTCCCAGTCTTTTGCTCCAGTATTAACAGATGTCCCTCCAGAAATCCAGTCTTTCTTCTTTAGTCCCAGTTGTCACAATAGGGTATGAAGAGTTCCGAAGGGTTTCTTCTCCATCTGACAGAATTTCACAGATATCCTCCCCCCCATTCTCAGTGAATAGGAATCCACTTAATGATAGGCACTAAAAGGTGCCTTTCAGATACAAACAGTGAAGGACAAAAGCTGAGGCAAGCAGGGGGAGCAGACTGTGACGAACACAGGCTTCCTGAACTGCTTTTACAAACAAAGAAGTGTCTTGCTCCAGAGCCTAAAACACAGCATTTTTAACACCACTACTACTATTTGAATGAAACTCCTGTAGAGGTGAGTTTCTCTGCCTGGAATCTACTCTTATAATTCAGCAACACACTGACTGATCCAGGAAATGTTATTAGGGATAAGCCGTGGACAAAATGGCCATATTCTCCAGAAAATCTTGTCTCAGTGGGACCTGCAGGGTGCAGGTCTCTCAGTGAGTCCTGAGCATGTTTGAAGCCATGTGCATTGTATTTTAAACTTTGCGGTTTAGTTTTTCTAGTTCCACCTTAAAATGGTCACTCTTCACCTTTTAGTCCTGTCACTGGTGCATGGCTATCATAGGGGGCATTTCCAGCAAAGGGAAAGCAACATTTTTTCTCCAACTGTTCTTGTGCCTGGAATAACACTGACCTTTTGGGACCACTTACTAGGTTCCTATTCTTAATCTCCTGACAAGGAGTCAAAAGTACCTTGTCAAAACTGACAAGGGTAGTTGCAGCCCTCTCAGAGAATGGTCAAGGCTGACATGTCTCCACACATTCTTTGCTAGGAGTGTTATGGCACGAGGGTCAGCCCTTTCCTGTCATTACTGCAGTTCTAAACCCATGTGGCCACACCAGCCTTCTGGTCATTCCCAGATTTTGATGGCATATACATCACTAAATGGGTAGGAAAAAAGAAGTCTAAACACCTTCCAAACCCCTCATATTTCTGTACATGACTGCTGGATAAGGAAATGCTGTCAGTACTTCAGTGCCCTGGCAGAGAACAGAACACTCTCCTACCCATTTCCTGATTCACAAAATACACAGGAGATTTTCTCCTGACCTATCACTCCCCAGCAAAAAGAAGTGTGACATACATGCTGTGGCAAGAGACTTCTTCCCTTCTGCATCAGGACCTGAATGAAGTCAAACTCCTAATGTGTGTCTGCAAAGTGCTACTGGACCTGGGATTACCTCCTAAAGCACACTTACACACTTAAAACCTTTAGCTGTCATAAAGCCTTTTTCACACACTCCTTCCCTGGATTGTTCTACAAACCTGTCATGTGCTCAGGGATAAATCCCTTGATGCAGAGATTTTACTTTTTTTCTTCTTCCTATTATTATAATATATTTTGTAATTATTTTAGTCATCATTTTTGCTTTGCAAATTCAGATTTTAGATCTTGATATGCTGAGAACACCCATGGATTCATGAAATGCAATAATTTCTGTTATGGGATAAATGGGTACAAATGTGCAGTGCAGATTTGCCTAGGACAGGATTCCCCTCTCCTGGGGACTCAATGACTCAGACAACAAAAAAAGAGGCAAGGAGCCTCCCCATCCAGGGTCTTGGCATCAGTTCAGGCTCTTCCCATCTTTTCCCAAGGGATTCACTCCCAAGAGGTGTGTAGTGGATGGAGCAGAGCAGCAGTGGAGTCCTGTGGAGATCCCCAGTGGGGAAAGCTGGACCCATTAGGTCTGAAGTGACATGCAGGCTCCTGCTGGCTCTCTGCACAGGGAACCAGACACAGCTAGCTGCTTTGTATGAAATCCTGGCCCCACTCACAGACTACCATGTGTCCAAGAAAATCCTCTTTATTCTCATCCTCTGTCTCTCCACAAAGAAATTCTTCCACAGAATTTCTTAGAATCTGAGAATGTTGGCCATTCAGCTGAAGTTTCTGGCCGCAGCACAATTATAATTGGTCTCTCATGGACAGGCTCAGCACGGAGGCCAAAAAACTGCAAGAGTTATTAATGACTGAGTTCCCTTCTACTTCCTAACTGCCAGACAGGCAGGAAAGTTAGAGGGGAACACTTGGGGCTGTGCCACTACTCTCCTCTCATATACGCTGTTCTGGTGCTCCAGCATCTTCTTGCAGACAGGAAGCTGTCCACTGTGCAGACACCAGACAGCACTGAGAGTTGTGGGAAGCAGATCGGGCATCCAGAAGCCCTCCTGGTGCCCAGAGATAATTTTAGGGGCCTTCTCCCCACAGCTGAAGAGTGCATCAGGGTGAAGCTAGCTGCAACCTTTCCAAAGGCACCTGTTTTGCCACAGGCGAGGTTGAAAGGATAAAGAAACACAGCTGGAATGGCAGACTGAGAAACAGAAAGTCATAGATCTTTCCCCCTCCATCCCTCAAATGAAAAGACCATCTCAGGAGAGGTTCAAATTGAGCAAGAAACATATTATTACGATTATTACATCCCCATTTGACAACAATCACATGGCACAGTGCCAGCTGGCACCAGGAAGCCTCTGTTGCTTCTCCTTCCTTGCCTGATACGCAGTGTGAGAAGAATACAGTCCTTGTTAGTTGAGAACTGAAGAATGGGAGAGGAGAGGCCAAAAACACCTCCTTGAACAATCACTATCAAGTAAACAGAGCTACACTTGGGAAACACATATTTTAAATACATTTTCCTTGAAGTTTCTGGGGAGGGGAGCTCCACGTATGGGTTGGGAAGGTGAGCGAGTTCACACTTGGGCATATTTCTGTGGTGTCAAACGTGCTAGTGGCAGCTAAGAGGAGAGTCCGTGGTGCCTTCATTTCACAGGGGAAGATAAAAGTCCATGAAGCTGAGAATTTAGGGACCCATGCCAACATAGCAGCTTGAGTAAATTTGGACTGGCACTCCATGCTGGTCACGGCTGTGCTCAGCCTTTGATAAGGAGTTGTCTCACAAAAGCACCTAGTAGTCTGGTGCCATTCCAGCAAGCCACTCTCTTATCAAAGGTCATGTCAAAAATTTGGAGGGAAGAGGGCCCAATAAATGTAGATGTCATAGGACATTGTTTATTCATGCTAATGTTCCTGAAATCATACTTCCCACTGGCAGAACAACTTTATGGAAGCATTGGGAAAAACTGCTGTTTGTTCATCAGCAAAATCATGCATGTCAGCATGCTGCTGTGGTTGAGTAATTTTATACTGAGGTTAGTACAGGGGAGCTAGCACTAGAGATTTGGAAAAAGTGGATTTCAGAAAGGCTAGTGGCATATCCAGCTCTCTGAACATGAGACACTTGTACCTACAAGACAGTCTAAAGGAACCATCACCCCAGCACAGTTACTGCCTTTGTCCAAATGTGCATTCTTTTTCCTGACAATCTGCTAGGTCAAGATGTTCATTTCTAGTAGCTGAAACACTGATTTTACCCAAGTAACATTTGCACCAACCTACCTGAGTGAGGCAGGACAAGATTTGGCCTGCACAGCCACTGCCTGGTTTGATAAATAAGACAACTACTGTGTTCTTGTCCTGTCGTGACTTCCCAGGGCTGGCCAAGAGACTCTGTAAGGGGATGTCTCACAAGGGATCTTTAGGCATCAATGTTTGGCATCTCCTCCCCAGAAATAATTGCCCAGCTATTGTCTCTCTCATGACATGGGTGGCCCTGCAGTGAAGGTCCTACATTTGGTCCTGTTTCTGTTGCAGTTGTTCTGTGATCTTTGGCAAGTTCTTTTAGCTCCCGCTACATCTCAGACCAGTTCAGCTTCACTATCTGAAACAGGCTGGGGCTCAGCTGAAGCTCCATGAGTGTCCTCAAAGTCCTGAGCAGGCTCATCTCCACAATCCTCCCCGAGATGGCAGCAAACCAAGCAGTGTGCTGAAAGTTCCATGGCCCTTGTGAAACCCATGCAGTCAGAAAGGCAGAGACCAAGAAGGAGTTCATACCTTATTTCTAGTCTGCTTTTTTCAGTGGGCTGGTACAGGCTCCTGTATAGCTCTGCCTCTCCTCTTGTCCTTTCTTCCACATGCTACCGACACAGGAGAGTAAATAGGCTCTATGAAATAACAATAAATGGAAGTAAAAGAGACCTCTGATGAATGCCCAAATGGATCTGTCAGCAAAACCCTTTCAGTGGTCAGTTCTGCTTCTACCTCCCTTCCAAGGACAAGCATCCTCTTAAAAGAGGCCTGCAGGAGGGCTGTAGATATCAGGCCTAAGATCACAGCTGGGCTGCCTCACAAAGCAACAAAGTGAGAGGAAAAGGGGAGGGGAGGATAACAGCTAATGTTCTTAAGCGACTTGTCCTCCCTTGCTTTTTCAAAACTGCCACTGTCATCATGCAAGGCAATAAGGAAGACAGTGTGATCTGGCACCATCCACCCTGTGCCCTTCCTATATTAAGATTTAGATTGAGCTGTCAGTGACCAGATACAGCTGGTAAGACAGCTGTACCTCTCTGCCTGGATCTATTTTGGATTTACTTGCTCCTCCTCTCTTCCCTACTTGCATTTTCCTTATGTAATTTTGAATTATTAAAAATGAAATTTCCCTGGAGATGGGTTTGCATTAATATTGGGATCTGATTGCACCGATGTTGCTCTTAATTTCTTTTTCAGAGAAAAGATGGATTTGCATGCAGGTGGGCAATCATTTTTTCGGGCATGACATCCAACCCAGGTTCAGCTGAACTAAACATTTGATTTTTATCAGGTTGCACGTGATGTGTAGATCCTGAATAAAGACGGTATGAAATTTGTAGAAGGTTGTCCAAAGCTGACACATGCTGAAGCCCTATCTCCAAGCAGCATGTTCCAGTCAGGTGGATTACGCAGGGAAAGAGAGGGGTTGAACAAAGGGCCAGCCTCCAAGTATGCAACGGTGACACTCTCCTTTTGGAGCAGGAATGGCTGGTATGAACAGCTGGTTATTGTAGGCAATGTCCCACTTCCCTATCTCCAGTCAAGTGTGCTACATGCACCAATGGCTTGGCCTCAGTGACCATGGTAGAGAAGCACAGGCTTTCTGAATGACTAGTGCTTTCTGGGTGCATCAGAGATTTGGACGGTATGGATAAATGAAAGTGTAGGACCAGGCTTATTCAGCCACCAGTTTACTACCTCTGCTGAGCCCACACCAAAGCAGCTCCTTCCTGTTCTACCTATGCCTGTAGCTCTTTTCCTGGTACCCCATAAATACTCATCAATAACAGTACTTAGTGCTTTATCACATGTTCTGCCTTCTAAACCCAGACAAGAAAATATTTGACCCTAAGTGATGTTTTCTTCCTCTCCAACCGTACTTTGTAGTATCAGACTTCAATCTATGTCCAACTCAAACTTCAGCTAAAGAATGTGTCGTTGCTAATGTATAACCAGGGAGTGTGAAGCTGTGTGTGAGAACAGCACACACTACCAGTGTGAAAACAAGCTGCAAGTACATAAAGCGGCCTCATTGTGCTGCTGCAGAGCATTGTTTGATGTACTTTTTGCAGGACTCTGTCTGGAGACCTCAAGTTAAAGCTAGCTCCAAATGCAGCTGCCTGCTCATTCCAGGGCCAAGCACATCACAGAGGAACTGAAGATTTTTCCCTTCTAGGTGTTTGGTTTTAATCTGCACTGCTCAAAGATGTCTAAGATCTGATTAATACCAAATCGGTCTCTTACCCCATGCCACACTGTATGGAGTCTGTCTGGGAGGACATTTAACAGAAAGCTCCCTGTGTCTGTGGACCTTGCATCAGATCTTTCTTCCCCATTGGTAGGCTGAAGCTCGATTTGCTGAGCTTGCTGTTGGTCCCATCCCGCTGCTCTCATATGCAAAACTTCTGCTGTGTGATGAGCTGAGAGACACAGGGGCAAGGGGGAAGCAGCTTCTAGGATGACTGCAATGGTGTGTTATGCACAAAATAAGCCACTTCCTACATTTAAGGATTGCAAAGGCATACATGTAGTCATTTAGTGAGACGCAGTGAACCCATGTGAACCCATTACACTCCCCAGCGCCAGCTAACATCACCAAGGCTTGACAAACTGGCACCTACTTGCAGTGGGCAAAGGTGGTTCAATTAAAATTCCCTTGGATCATCTATGACACTCCAGTTTGGCAACTGGCTTGGTAGTTGCGAGGCCAGCGTGGGTGAGCGGTACCTGCAAGCAGCACAGAGGATCACTCAGGCGAGAGAGACTGTGGGCCAGGCCAGATCTGTCACCCACAGCCACAGCAACCACCTCAGATGCACTATGTGCTTCCACCCACCACAGAACATTTCCTAATACCCTCTGACAAACCCAGCACACCACTGAAGAACAGAGTTTGCCTGCAGCTAGAGTGCCCAAATACAAAATGCATGCCACAGCCGGCATGCATGAGGCCAGGCAGAGGCAGGGAGACTTTGCACAGTGTATCTGGAACAACCAGATGGGATAGGTTTCACACAGGTCAACCAAAGCCTGATGGTAGATCAAGGTGGCTGATGGGTGAGTGGAGCTCTCACACAAGAGAAATGCAGCATGAGGAACCAGCTTGGGGCACCAAGCAAGGTTCTCAGAGGAAATGAGAATTAATTTGTGGCTCAAGTGATCCTAGGAGGCATCTCAGGAAGCACTCAGACAGGGAGCACTCTCTGTGTCCCATCTGCTATTAGTAAAGAGACATCTTGCTGTATACACGTGACCATGGTGTGCTGGGGTAGTCCTGCTGCCTCTGCCAGATTTGCTCTGGTTGCATACTGTCCAGGTCTGCACATAGTGGGCCTGTGATGTGACCCAAACTTTGACAATCTATCTAGGACAGAAGGAGGTCAACCAGCCTCTCACCTCCCCATACTGCAGACTGTGGAGCTCTACTGCAGGTCAAGCCAAGGAGGGATGTACCCTGAGGCGCACAAGGGCTCAGGCAGCAGCCCTGCTGATAACTATGGTGTCTGCATAGGAGACAGGATTGCTTGGAAGAACTTTTATGTATTATGAAACCAGCCATGGCACAGCAGAACAGTAACACTGGGACTCTCAGGGCCTGGCTTCTGTCCCCAACTTTGCCATGGCCTTCACAGGGTCATGCTGGGCAAGTCATATCCCTTATCTGTGGCTCCACCTGAGGAAATGTTGCTGCCTTGAGTTAGAAGGAGGATAATGAAGACAAATCTTTGGGCTCCAGCGTTGGAGGGTCCCTCCCTGCAGGTTCAGGCTAAGAGTGGATAAGAACACCACTTTGCTTGACACAACACTAGTGCGCAGTGTCAAAGATGACATCATGGCATGTGAACAAGCATTTACCCTCCGAAAGAGAAAATAGCAGAAGCATGTGTAATCATTTGCTTTTCATGCCAACATATTTTCCTTATGTAAAGAGAGGCTCTGGCGGCCCTAAGGATGCTGAGAGATGCCTGTGCTCCCCTGTGAAGGTGGAACTATCAGGCGAGGATGCCAGCATACCTGCCTGGGTAAATTTGTGCATGCACTTCATGTTATAATAGGCTTTAGTATCTGATAACAGAGACCTGCTGGAGTCTGGCATGAGGACAGAAGGAATCAAAGGTCATGTCATGAATTCCAGTTATGCTGATAGACATCTACAGCCAGAGGAAGGAGCTCAAGAACAGGAACTGTAAACTGGTTGGGAGGGCTGGAAAACAGAAACTGGTTCAGGGATGACAGGTATGGGTCATTTTGGACCCCAGATGGACAATTGCATGTGCATGTTTGTCACAGGACATAGGAAGGTGTTTTCCTGATGGAGTTACCCATGAACTCTGCCATCACTAGTTTAACAAACAGACTAAGCACACTGCAATAAATGTATTAAATAGCTAGCACATGTCTCTCCAGAGGCCTCCTCCTGATGGAGAAGCTGATTCATGACATGGATGGGCAGATCAGCAGATAGGTAAGAGATGCAAATATGCAGTGGGTACCTTGCACGAGGGAAACCATCTGCCCACGGAAACAGCTGAGAATGTATGTGATAGCACAAAGTTGCTCTGCTTACTCCCTACTTTTGCCTTATTTGTCTGATGCTACCACTTGCCTTGTGCCTTATGCCTAGCAGGTGCCTGGGAGGCACAGTTCTCCTGTGGTGCACACTGGGGTCTGAGCAAGTTCACATCAGAGGTGAGACTCGGCAGCTGTGCATGGAGATGGCTCAGCAAATCCTGCACAGCATAGCTCTGTGATGGGTTCTGGAGGCAGGAAGAGGAGCTTTAAGGTTCTACAATACCCAGAAGAAAAGAATGGGATGGGATGGGATGGGATGGGATGGGATGGGATGGGATGGGATAGAATAGGAAAAAAAAAAAGGATGGGGAAGCAGAAGACAAACTCCTTTCAAGTGACTGACACTTCTAGTTGTATCACAAAAAATTATCTCATTTCTTTCTTATTATTTCTTTCTTATTATTCTTCAGTTAAATGATTCCACTGTTTTCGCAACATTCTCCTACAGCCTCAGACTAGATGTGCTCACTCTCCCTTTACTTTTCAAATCAGGACTTCTATTTGGATTCACCTGCTTCATGGCTGTTGCTTTTTGCCTCTTCACAGGTGCTGACAAAGGCTTTGCTAACATTGTTTAAAGTCACTTTTGAGCCAGGAAAGACCTGGTAAACAGGCAGGACGTTGAAAGACAGACACAGTATAGGCAGGGACACTACAAACTGCTAGCATGTGTTATTATCAGAGCATCTTTTTTCTTCACTCCTCTGCTGTTAGCGGCACACGTCAGGCAGCAACAGAACCTACCTGTGAGGAACTGCACTAGGTGTTGGTTTTTAGCAGCTGAGTAGTCACAAATCTGGGCCATTGAAAGCTGTCTCCAAACTCCTGGCAAACAAATGGGGAAAATCTCATTGAGTTCAGGGAGGTTTGGCTTCAACTTCACGGAGAACAGCCTGAAACTGAAACATCAGATGCATAAAACCCCACCCATGCAGTAACTACCAGGACAAGGGACCAAAACTGATAGATTTGAGCCTCAGTGAACAGATTAAATCACCCATTTGAATTAGCAATTTAAATAAGCAGGAGACCTTATTTTTAAATATTAAATAAAAACTTCTTTTCATTTATCCTTTTTAATTATTTTCCACAAAGAAAGGTTGATAGTCATCAGGTTGTAACCAAAAAGACCCTCTTGACCTAAAACCACATACAGTCCATGCACGAACTTACTGTTACCAGCAGACAGTTTTATCTACACATATTTACTTACCACTTTACATGTTTTTATTAGGTCTTGATTGTTACATTTTTCTATGCTGGGAAATGGTGAGTTATGTATTTTTAATTTGTTATAGAATGACCGTTTATCTTTAGAATTGATTCATATCAGGCTGCATACAGAATGAAGTTTGAATCCATTAAAAAATCTCTAAAAACAGTTTTATTAAACACGTAGTTTATTATTTGTAAAACCACCTTTGTTGCTAAACAGAAAAGAAAAAGTAATGTTAAACAAAAGAAGTTTTATCAGTGACTAGTGGGTTAAACAGGTTGTTCCAGGACACCATATACTCCCACAATGTAGATCTGCTATATCTTGTCCTCTCATCCTCATTTTTCTAATAGACCAGAGGAGAAAAACAAGCTTGTCCTCTTTTTCCAAACCTCATCCAGTTTCTCAAGTTTAAATGAGCAAGTCACTAAATTTAAGTTGTTGAATAGACTGAAATGGAATAAATAGTTGTCTACTACTCATGGAAGAGCACTTACTTTCAAAAGTGGATTTATCACTTACCAAGCTTTGGTTCCAGGTGCTTAGGTAGTGGTTTGGTTCAACTTTCTGAAATGTTTTGGCAGGAAGCATGTGTAACTTGATATTTTAAAAAATAATCAAGACAAAGAGAAGCTTTTTATCAAACATACTAAGCTTCCTAATACAGATGGCCATTGTTCCACATTTAAATAGCTCTATTTCAATAGAGAGAAAATGTACTGAATTTATAATTTTCTTAACATTTTCTGCCATTGTTATTACCAGTTGCCTGTGATGGACATTAAGAATTGGATGGACCTTAGTTCCCTGCCCACTGACCAGATTACTCTAAACTGCCTCTAAGAGACTGTGGGTGGCTTTAGCACCACAAATCATTGCCCCAGAGACAAAGTTTCCAGCTGAGAATTACAAGTACCCCCCAAGGTGGACAGAGATGTCAGAGCAGTCATGTCCACCCGTTTCTTTAATCCTCTTCCACCCACCCTGGTTTTCCTATTACAATCACCAAGGAAGTCTTTCCATACTGTTTGCGTGACTGGAGAAAGACACTGGAAAACATGAACAGAGCATAAACCAATGCTGAGATGCCTGCTTGGATTGGAAAGGCATATGAAACAACACCTTGAAGATCCTGTGCCCCTGGCCTCTCTGCCTACCCCTAGGAAGGAGGCCTAATCATGTGGGAAAGGGGCAGCCTCTCCCTGCGGGACACTAGGACACTGTGGAAGAGACCAACATGCTATTTTAAAAGGTTATAAAGCCATTCTGTCTTACTGCCAGTTGGCATTAATTAGCTCGCTACTGTCCTCTTTCTGAATTGTCTCAACCAAGGAGTATCTGTTAGTGATTTATACTTGGCACTTCCCTGATAAAAGTTTTTCCATTCTAACTCAGCTTGAGCAAGACTTCTCTCCATGCCAACTTCACTGGAGTGTCTCACCTTCCAACTTTTGCCTCCTTTTATAATAAATACCATGGGAGAGGCAAATTGAGGATTTTTGTGACAGTAGCCTGTCTGATACTCTTCCATCACCAGTGCTCAGTCTGTCATCTTGCCTGGTGGCAACAAACATGTCACCATTAAGAGGAATTGTTTTGGGGTCAGATGCTCCTAACCTCCAGCTTCACTGGCTGAGATGAATCTATGTTATGCCAGCTGAGGATCTGTTCCTTCAGGAAAACAAGGCCTATTGGAAAGACTGCACAGGGAGGAAAACCAGGGTTTCTTAAAAGGTTAGCTAACACTGCTTTAGCTAAAGCCCACCACAGCCCAATTTCTGGAGGCTTATGGAACGTAAATCTTGGATTAACTCGATATTCAGTAGAGCTTTGCAATCCACTCATAACACTTTCCAGTTCAGTGTGAAGAACCGGGCCTCTTATGAGCCTCTTTTCAGCATTTCTCCAAAGCTGTGGATATCCTTCTCCAGTGAGGGATTTGGAGGGGATACATTATGAGCAGGACACTAATCTGCTCCTCTACTGCAGTGTGTTGGGAAGGGAATCTCAGATGGTATCATGCAGCATTTTATCCCTATTTCCTTTCTAGGGTAACCTGATGGAGACACCAATGTGCAGCCCTTTCAGCCCAAATTCCAGTATTTAACCACTAGAAACATTCTGGGTCAAGTTTTCACAGATGTTTTTAGGGGGAAGAATATATCCTAGCTCCTAAATCAACTTGAGTAGACAAGGCAGTATGCTGTCACTACTGTGACACTGCTGTCAGTCATTGATGTTCAGAAGTTTATGTACATCTCAGGAACCATGACAGAGTGAAAACCAGAAGCTTAGTCTGTTAAACACCATTATATACCCTTGGTGCTCACATTTTTACTTTCCATATTCACTCTCTTTTTTTTTAATGCCTGAGAGGTCTTCTGTTTGCAATTCGGTGTAGGCTTCTGGCTAGAAGAAACAATTAACCATGCCTCCAATCAGGACGGAAGCAGAAAGGTATGGAGAGAAGATTAAAATCAAATCCCCAAACATAAAAGGAAATTTGAAGTAAAAAAATTGAAAAGTGGAACGGCATGCTTCATCTCTATCATTGATAAAATATTTTGCAATCCTGGAAAACTTAATAGCTTCTTTGGCATAATCTTTATGACCTTAAAGGGGTGATAAGGAAAGTAATAAAAAACTGTTTCTGAAAGGGTATGCGTTTTCCTAGTCAACTCAGTTTTTCCGTCTCACCTCCAAGGCTAACATTCAAAAGGAAGTTTGACACATATGGGTTTTGTCGGAACTTGGAAGCTGTTTATTTAGCTTCTCTCAAGATACTACCTATGGAACCTTGCAGAGCAGGGCAAGAAAGGGAGCCCTGTGAAGTGGCAACGGCGTCAGAAAAGTGAAGGGTGCATAGCTCAAACTGCTCAAGTTTATTAAAACAAAATAGGTCAGCAGAGTTGCCCAGAGGGTTATGTAAGGCAGAAAGTAGCACTCCACAGGAGAGGAGAAGGGAGCCTGTTAAAAGGCAAAGCCACTCCAGTTTGTTTATGGCCAGAGATAACTGCCTTGTGGTGTGTCTGTTCTCCATAGCTGACAGAGTAAATCACACTCTTTATCTCCACAGCAGATGAGAATTTGGACTGGGCTGTTGTTTTGTGAGCTGTGGATTAAAGCAAATGGGTCTGTTATTTATTATTATGGCTAGCATTATTATTTTGTTCCTGCGATCTCCATCTATGTAAGGAATTTCACCACAATGATTTGCTTGAAGGGAATGTTAGGGATCATAATAGCAGTAAGGATAAAACCTTGAAACACCTGAAAAGGGTATATAAGAAAGGTGGGTTGGCAGTTGTGTACAGACAAGGGAAATGATCAAATGCACTTTGGGATCCTGCAGAGCAAGGCTGGGAGCTGACACTCTCATCCTGGCCCAGAGGTCAGCCCAAAGGCCAATATGACATCTGGGAATGTACAAGTACCTGTGGCCTGCCGATGCATCTGTCCCGTACCAGTCTCCCTCTGTTCTGCCTCCTCCTCTTGTGCCAGAAATCCAGCTTCATATCTTAAACGCTGCCAGCTCTGTCACAGTTCCCCACCCTTTGGCATAGACAGGGGAGAGAAGACCCTCTTGCAGAGAGGTCAGGCACCCTGAATGTCTCACATCTCAGTAAGTGTATTCTCACTTTCAGGTACTCAAATCTCAAACCGCTGGTATTTATCCTTCAGAAGTGGAACCCTGTTGTCCCTGTTCATGCCTCCTCCTTGGCTCCTCTGACACATTACTCCTTCCTTTCTGCAACCTCGGCTCAGTGACAGAGCAGAGCCGCTTGCAGGGAGAGCTCTTCCCAAAATTAAGTAGAACCCAGGTTGCACTAAAGATCATACAATCAGAGAACATCCGATATCACAGAAAACACCAGTACAATTTTTCATGGTTTTGGTCCGTAAGAGCAAATGGGAGCTCTTTGCTTGTTTTCAGACTGACTGATCCAATGACACCTACTGAGTGGGCCATGACCCAGGAAGTTTCTCAGCAGCTCCAGAAACAGGTCCCTGGGAGGAAACATGCACCACATCCCTTTGAGCCATTTGCTGAGAGCTGGTTAGAGAAACAAAGGAGCTTTATCTTTCATGGGAAAATGCTGAATCATCAAAACCCACACTTCTCATAGGGGCACATCAGTTTTCATGACATTCTCAGGAAGAAGTTTCTCTAATGCAGGATAGAAAGCAGAAGGTTAATTTTATTTTGGTGAAGGATAAAGAATTGAAGGAGACAGACAGGGATAAGAGGCTATAACATATTCAGTCCACTGTACAAGCAGTGTGAGAGACAGCTCAAATTTTACTCTGCCTGGTCCAGAACCATGGCTGGATCTGCTCAGCTGTGTGCTCTGAGAAAACACCTGCATGTTGGAGAATAGCTGGAGGGGACAGGGTTGAAGGTGCCTCTCCCTGTATAATTTTTGCAAGACATGTTTGAAAAGGCCTGGGTCTATCCCATGTCAGAATAGCAGTTCTGACACCCTGCAGATATCTGTACAGGAGGACTCAGCTCTTCTAGCCAGATGGATGGTTTCCATTATTCTACACCTCATCTGCATCCTTCCAACTCACCAACCTGCAGCAGCATCTGTACCATACATAGGGTCAC